ATATAATTTTTTAATAAAAGCGTTGGTTTTTTAACAACTTGAAACTATGTAATACAATATTTTGAAAAAAGTCAATACTTTTATAAATAATGAGTGTTGTTTGATAAACGAATCACCCTGTATATATATATTATCTTAAAACACTCTGATCTTAAATATATTTTATCGATATCTGTACATTAAACTTTTATAAAGACTCTTGCCCGTATATAAGTTAAAAATAACAGTTATTATTTTTTGATAAAAAAAAAACATGGTTCAATACAAAAACTTTTAAAAACGATTTAACTGTATAACTTTTACATATTTTTGAGAATAATAAGATATAGAGTGAAATAACAAGTAGATTTTCGAAAATAGTATTTGATATAAATGATGTATATGTTATATGTATTACCTACCAACCTATACATCTTTATTCTCATACAATATATGCTTTATTTTTCTTTATTATAAATATAGTAAAATAATTTATAGAAACTGTGTTAAAAGACCTAACCTTGAACCAATATATATATAGGCATATATAGCTACACACAATAATATTGGCTTAAGGGCAAAATATGATGTCAAACTTGGTTAATGAACTGCCGCGACACGAAAACGTACTAGTCGTGTTGTCGAACGGATAACTGTAGGCGTCCGGGCAGGCTTCCTTGAAGAATGGTGGATAGTTTTGGGGCCACGACCTACTGTTACAAGTAGCCGGGGTGGTGTAGACACCTTTGCAGCAATCACTGTCCGTGTTGAACAGCGCACAGGCGCTCTTGCAAGCCACCACTCCGGAACCATCAGCTGCATTGACGGCTAATTTGGTGGGGCACTTGCTGTTTAGATTGGCCACACAGTTAGCCGACTTGCAGTCGGTGCTGTTTTTCGATTCTACTTGATATTTGTTCGGTGTGATTCTGATTGGCAGGTTAAATCCGTCCACCAATGACACATAGTAGATGTTGGACTTGGCAAACTGAATCTCAACTAAGGACAAGGGTGGAACGCCCAAGGTCCCGTTGCACTGGATCTTGTTTCCTACATCATAAAATTTTAGTGCAATGCAATATACCACACAAAATCATGTATAGTATTATAGGCTTCAACATGTGTTAATAATTAAATAATTATACTGAATTGCATTTTTGGTTATATTAGCAAGTATAATAACTTTATGAATAAACCTAAATCAGGGAAATTGTTGTTTGTTTTTTAGTAGATTTTATGATAGGCTGCCGTATGATCCAAAACTATAAAATTTTGTGATTATTTAGCTCAAAATTACATTGATCRACTTTCAAGATTTCTATCCAATGCTCAAATGTTTTTTTCAATAAGTTCAAAGAGAGCTAAAAACAGTTCTGAATATTTTCATGCAAAACTCAATTCCCTATTTATAGAAACACACCAAGATATGTATTTATTTATTTAAGCTATTATGGCTTATACACGAAAATTTTATTTAAAAAAAAGGAATCCTAATAGGTACGACGTTATTCTCAGCCATTCGGGCCAACTCACAACACCAAACAAGTATAATACATTTAAAGAAGTACCTATACATATATGTATTTTGAGTCAGAGTCAGAAATTTAATTATTAGATAGTTCTATCAAATATWTTATAATTATGTTGACAATATATAARACCCTTGAATTGTACGAGATCRATATAAACATAATATTATAATTCGTGGCGGTACAAAATATGCGAAAACTGGTATACCATCACCAGCGTATAGGTATTTGAAGGAAAACAAGCGTCATACACATTACACGGCCAACTGTAATAGTGACGAGTCTAGACTATAAAGCACGTATTTATATATGCAATAATAAAACCGTAAAAAYATACATTAAAATTTCAAAAAAAAGTTACAAGTAAAAACTAAAAACAAATGAAAGCAATTAAATCGTTTATGTACAAGCCAATTTATTAATAATAATTTAAAATTAATTTAACATATATATATATATTACATATAAGTACTTAATTTAAAACAAGTTTTTTTTATTGTAAAATTGTCTGGTAAGATTATGAACAAAAATCAAGATAGTTCAGTGTTCACTGTTATAAATAATAAATTTGATATTAGTTTATCGAAAACCAATAGGTTCGTAATCGGAAAAATGCATTATTAGAATTTTCCAACCACGAAATATTATTTTACACCTGCATGGCTACATGCCTATATTAGTTTTTTGAATAGCCGTACAATACATATATAGGCCATAATATATATTAAGTTCCTTTGTACGTATGTTGCTGTTAATATTTAATGATAATGTTACAAGAGTTAAATTTTTAATGAACTCTTTATATGATGAGTATGTAATTTTTCTTGGTCATATAGATGAAATTATTCTCTACTGTTTTTTTTTTTAATATTTTGATAAGATTTGATGCATCTGTGTATAAATGTGTGGTCTATCATGTGGTTATATATTCTAGGTTATAACTGAGATTTTCCCAACTTCAAAATCATCATAGAAATCATAATTATAATTCTTAKGCTATAATGAATAATAGTAATATAATTATAGTAATATTTTAGTAAATATTTTGTAATTAAATAAATGYATAAACGAGTAACATATTTAAATCGTTGCATTTTCATTTTTATCGACATTTCATTAAAACTTAAGATTCTAATTTTTTTTTTTTAAGGTACTAATTAATTATTACAAATATAAGTAATGAGTATCTAACTTGATTAAGATATTTTTATCAGTGGCGTACAATGTAGAGGGAGTCTAACTGGTTAAAGTTCCACCCCAATTTCCCATTATATTATTATCACTTTTTTTAGTAAACAAGGATGTAAATTCATATACGTCTWACACTATTACTGTTTTATCTCTGGTCAATGATTAAWWATATATATACCTTACCTAGGTAAAATAATTTTTGCAAAAAACTTGTACTTAGTTCCATACCAATTTTCTTTAAATGATAAATAATTTCTTGGTAAAAAATAAAAATATATGAACTAATTTTATGAAACACATTTTAATAATTTTTCAAGCTTTAGGTATACAAATTTTTAACTTCAAATTAATTATAGTTTTGTCAAAATTTTTACTTTAAACACTTATAAGATTATCTTTCTAATGTTATATGTATTTTTTTTAATTCCTGTGGTAAAAACTTATGAGGAACTTTATATTATGCATTTCTAAGCTTTTTTACCGAACGAATAATTTTTTTTTTTTTTGATATTTTGATAATTTGTTTATTTTGGTTTTTTCGATTATTTTGAAAAATAATGAGAATTTTCAATTTAGACCTTTCAAAAATACTAACTAAATCCAATTTTCTTCCAAAAACATCCATCGAAATTTATGATCACAGAATTTTTTTCCACAAGAAAAGTTGAAACGTTGTATAAACATTCTCAGTTACCTTAACTAAACGTCTGAAATTATCAGACAAGACAAAATATAAATAAAATGTAATTCATTTTTAGCCACCACCATCATTAAAAATCCTGCTTACGCCACTGATTTTTACTAGGCACAGTCTTCCGAATAAGTTGACACATCGTCATAAGCATTATATATAACAAATAAACCATATTAAAAACTTACCGCAATCGCCTGTTTCGCATTTTCCTCTACTRTCACAATTAGTTCTGCCCCAAATCCTACCAGCCCAAGTTGGAGACGAGAGAATAAAATGAGTCTTGTAGGCGTCCAACGAAAACCCACCGTTTTCAAGATGTTGCTGTCTCGGGTTGCCTTGTATGCCGGGCCATACAGTAAACGGGCAATTGTTTGTTACTCTAATCATGTGTGCCATACTGACTGCAGCGATTTGAACAAAAAACAATACAATTTTAGAATCCATATCGAGAGTTGAGATCGTGGGACTGTGATAGCTGAATTGGCTGGCGATTAACTGGCAACAGAATTTACGAGTTGTTTTAGCAGTGGCGTCGCATTCCATATCACATCTTGTTTATATACCTTCCTGAAACGTAMACCATTCGACAAAAATAATCTATTCTACAAAGGAACAACTCAAGGTTGTGGACGACGGACCTCTTTCTCTTATACTAATAAGATTATCAATAGGTAGTGTTGTTCTTCTCGAACCATGGTCACRTAGATCTTATACTTAATATTAATAATACATTGTATAATATGAGATAGGTAATAATTATTGTTTTATTTAATACACTCGAAAATTATAAATACTAAAAAACCTAATAATCGTAATACATATACAACAATTTAATAATATATTATTATTTGTACAATAATGRTAATAATTATGTTAAAAAACTTAAAATTAAGATAGACTAAAATTTTATCATATCTTCCCTCATATTGTGTGTGTGACGTGTGTGCCCCCGATACAGAGGTCCACGAATTCGTATCTATGATCAACTAACCTAACCAACTATAGAGTATATTTATAACCATGTTKTTGCAAATTAATCTAAGCTTCCAGCCGTCAGGAAAATTATGAAACTATGTCTAAAACAAACACATGTTTAATATTTTGTCTTTTGATACTTTGATGTATCATATGATAGTTTTTTGCTATACATGTTTAAATTAACCATTAGTAATTTAGCACTTTGATTTAGTATGTATTACTTGTAATTGTACGTTATTTTCAATTCATCAAATTATTAGATTATTATCTATAATACCTATGAATCGATTATTATAGTGGTGGGGTGATAACAATTTTACGTGCATGGACGTGACGATATCTAAAACAGGTAATGTAACAGGTTTTTTTTAAAGCTATGACGTAGCAAAAATAAACAAAAAATTTTAATTTTACGTTCGTTTTTGTAATTGTATATTTGACCATCTCCCTCCGTATTACCATCTAAATCCGATGATTTTCTGCCACCAGTCACCACAGCTCAGATGATAATAATGAATTATAAAATGAGTGCCTAAATATAATAATACATTATTATTTGGCAAACGAAATTAAAATTAAGATGGAGACAACAATTCTAAAATTTTATCAAATGGATCTTTATTATTTAGCTATTTGATCTTTCTTCGACGTTTTTTATCGTTCCATTTAGAAAATGGGATCTATAGTTATCTAAATGATACCTACTATTGATGAGGCTTCAACAGAGAATCAAAAGTAAACAGAATATTAGGTTAGTTTTAGATTCTGAGCGGGGCGATGAATGTATTGATTTTACCATGATGTGT